TTCCCTGAGCGTAAAATACTGCTGCCGATGGGAATACATTGCAATCAGTTTGAAAGCTCTTTGCGTCCGTTTATGAAGCTGAAGGAGACTCAGCGCGTCACAACTGCACGCCAAAGGTAGCTGGTGGATTTACTCCAGGTGGAACTAAAGTCTGATTTAACACTATTATATTTCACATCATTCATCCACATCTGTAAAGTAACTAAAGGTATTAAATACATGTAGTGGAGTAAAAGTACACCATTTACCTCTGACTTATGTTTACTGCTAATCTAAAAGTACCTCAAAAATAGTAATCAATAATGTATTGAAAAGTTATTTGGCTGATGGGTTGCCCAGTCTACGTACAGATGGGTCACTCATTTTGAAATAGTAAACTTAGTTTTATTTTCTTTAATTTGTCATCCTCATTTAGAATGCTTTCACGAAACACACATTTGGTTGTTTATAGCATAAAGAACATCTGATTTAATGTGAGTATGTGTATATGAATATGTAATTTACAGCAGCTGTAAGATGCTTGAAAATTGGACAAGGTGTATGAACCCTGAAAGTTGTACATGCGGTAATGGCGTCTGACTGAGGCATAAAGTTATACACAGCTCACCGCAATAGAACGAGACTGGACATATATGGCGATCGTACATACCAAATATAATTATATCAACAGTCACAGCAGACAGAGTGAAATTACTGAGCATTTAACAGGCAGTCACACTTACGGCAAACAAGTACTGTAAACAATATATATACTACGCCGATTATTGTCTGTAAACTGTTATTTACATACGAAATGCAAACATATAGATAGAAACAGGTGCTTATGCCGCAGTAACAACACTAACAGTTTCATACAAGCACAACGCGGAACACACAACGACCCGTTCACTCGCTGAAAGTCTGTTTATGACCGTTCGCACGTTGTGCGTGACTAATGACGTTACAGTGTGAGGGGTGCGCCCGGTAACTGTCTCTGGACTGCCTGGGGGGCGTCCCAAAGCAGGGAACTTTGCACAAAAACCATATAAACACCCAACCGATTACTGTTTGGGTTTGAGGCGACATTGATACGGCGAAGCTACATGCTACAAGCTACGTAGTGGAGATAACTTTATCAGGAAAAACACCACTAAATAAAAAGGAATGCAAATATTAACATGGAAAAACATACAGCTTCCAATCCATCCCGGAGGGTTGGTATTGATCCAGTTTTTAGCCTTAGATTGGAGGCATATCCTTTTTTCACTTGAGTGAAGTTCTCAAACATGTCCGAGGTAAAATGTTTAGAACACACAAGCAGACATTTGCCGAGGTATTCTGGCACATTCCCCTTGAAAATCAATTCCAGCCACAGATTCTTCTGTTTTTCCAGGGATGGCATTGCATGCAGTCCCTTGTCCCGATTTTTGCAGCCAACAACAGCACAACTTTTCACTGCCTTAGACATGCTGGCAAATAACACGGATGCGACTCGGGGAGATTGAGCTTGCCGACAGCCTATATGGCAATGAGAGGTTCCAATGAGTTAATTCCCATGATAGGCGGAGCGTCACCGCCCACTATTCCGGGCTGACGTCAGCTCGGATGGAATCTGTATCCGCTTGTTGTAGCCCCGTTTTAAAAGATTTGGGTACGAAGGAAAAGAGAGAGGGTTGTATTTTCTGACACTTGGTGAGTTCCCTGAAACACCGGGGACACATATAAAAGACGTACAAAAGTGCATTTTGCATGATAGGTCCACTTTCAATTTGTTCGAAACTTTTTCAACTTTAAAAAATATTCAGCTTTTTAAACTCTTTTTAACATGTAACTCAATGGGAGCACCGTTTAAATCCTCTTTTACCTACACCGTGCGCCCAATGCTACTCCTTCCACATACTTTCAGCTAGAGACTTCATTCCAACTTTAAAATGGTCACAATACATTCACCTATTAAACTTGTATTCAGATTTTTTGATATCTTTTACAGTTTTTGACGTTTTATCCATCTTCTCCCGCTTATCCGTGGTCGGGTCGCGGAGGTAGCAGTTCCAGCAGAGAGCCCCAAACTTCCCTTTCATGTCAACCAGCTCTGACTGGGGGTCTCAAGGAGCTCCCAAGCCAGAGAAGAGATATAATCCCTCCACCTGGTTTTAGGTAGAGATATGATCCCTCCACCTGGTTTTAGGTAGAGATATAATCCTTCCACCTGGTCCTAGGTTGAGATATGATACCCTCCACCTGGTTTTAGGTAGAGATATGAACCCTCCACCTGGTCCTAGGTTTAACCCTCAGTCTCCTCCCAGCTGGACGTGCCTGGAACACCTCCCTAGGGACGCGCCCAGGTAGCATCCTTATTAGGTGCCCGAACCACTTCAACTGACTCCTTTCGATGCGAAGGAGGAGCGGTTCAACTCTGAGTCCCTCCCGGATGACTGAACTTTTCACCTTATCCCTAAGGGAGACGCCAGCCACCCTGCGGAGAAAACCAATCTTGGCCGATTGTATCTGCGTTCTCGTTCTTTCGGTCATGACCCATCCTTCAGGACCATAGGTGAGGGTAGGAACGAAAATGGCCCGGTAGACAGAGAGCTTTGCCTTCTGGCTCAGCTCCCTTTTCATCACAACGGTGCGGTAAAGCGACTGCAGGATAGCGACTGCAGTAAAGCGACTGCAGTAAATTCTCCGATTCTCCGGCCCATCTCACGTTCCATTGTTCCCTCACTCAAGAACCCGAGATACTTGAACTCCTTCACTTGGGGTAAGGACTCATTCCCTACTTGGAGTGGACAGTCCATCAGTTTCCTGCTGAGAACCATGGCCTCAGATTTGGAGGTGCTGATCCTCATCCCAGCCGCTTAACCCTCGGTTGCGAACCGATCCAGTGAGTGCTGAAGGTCGCAGACCGATGAAGCCATTAGAACCACATCATCTGCAAAAAGCAGTGGTGCAATCCACCGAACTGCAGACCCCCTCCCCCACGACTACACCTTGAAATCCATCCATGAATATTGCAAACCGGATTACCAACAAAGTGCATCCCTGGCGGCGGCCAACCCTCACAGGAAATGGGTCCGACTCACTGCCAAGGACCCGGACACAGCTCTCGCTTTGGGAGTACAGAGATTGGATGGCCCTGAGTAGAAACCCCCTCACCCCATACTCCTGCACCACCTCCCACAGTATCTCCCTGGGAACCCGGTCATACGCCTTCTCCAAATCTATAAAATACATGTAGACCGGATAAGCCCACTCCCAGGTCACCTCTTGGTTCCTTGCGAGATTAAAAAGCTGATCCGTCGTTCCACGACCAGGACGGAATCCGCATTGTTCCTCCTCAATCTGAGGTTCGACGATCGGCCGGACCCTCCTTTCGAGTACCTTAGAGTAAACTCTCCCGGGAAGCCTGAGTAGATAGATAGATAGATATACTTTTTATTAATCCCCGTGGGGAAATTGTTTCTCTGCATTTGACCCATCCTAGTGTTAGGAGCAGTCGGCTGCCATTTTGAACAGCGCCCGGGGAGCAGTGTAGGGAACGGTGCCTTGCTCAGGGACACCTCGGTAGCACTTGGTCTTGCTGGGACTTGAACTGGTGACCTTCCAGTTGCCAAGCCAAGTCCCTATCAACTTCTCCACCACCACCCTAGTAGTGTGATGCTTCTAGAATTTGCACACACCCTCTATAGAATAGAATCGGAGGGATGAAACCCTCTTTAATGGTCACACATGCAGAGCGCACACAGTGAAAATTGGCCTCTGCATTTAACCCATCCTAGAAGTAGGACCAGTGGGCAGCTATTGTACAGCGCCCGGGGAGCAATGGGAGTGGGGGGGAAGGGGGATGTCCGGTGCCTTGCTCAAGGGCACCACGGCAGGGCCCAGGAGGTGAACTGGTACCTCTCCAAGTAGCAGTCCACACTCCATATTTAGGTCTGGTCCGGGGCTTGGACTGTGACCCTACAGCTCACAGTCCAAGCCACTGCCGGTTTCTGATCCCCCTTTTTGAAAAGGGGAACCACCACCCGGGCTGCCACTCCTTCGGTACTGTTTCAGACTTCCACGCAATGTTGATGATACGTATCAACCAACACCCAGAGCCTTCAGCATTTTTGGGCGGATCTCTGAAGAAAAGTCAGAATTCTGTACTGATTAGAGATTGTTAGGAAAACTATTTTCCAAAATGTTGAGATCAATATCTGAATTTTTAAGATACAAATTCTAAATTCAGAGATTTTCCTAAAAAGTCAGGATTTTCTAAAAGATTCTAAACTTTGAGAAAAATTTAGGATTTTTGGAAGAATCTGAATTCTGAGATTAAAACAAAAATATATTTAAATCAACAGGGGATTGATTAATTGCCTTTGGACGAATGACAGGCAGCAAGCTTACACTGAAACTGGTTCTCAGTGTTTTATATGTGCATGAAGCAACGACAGTCACTGACTTTTATCATTATCCTCATTAGCTGTGTTTCTCAAAGACATACATGTATTGGATGACCGGGTCCCATTGGTCCAACTTCAACATTTTGAGAAAAAGAGCTACATTTTGAGATAAACTACGCCCCCACGCTCTCCCTGTCCAAACTAAGCAGTGTAACTAAGTTTTAGATCAGCTACTAACTCACCGGTTTTCCTGAAACTCTCCAGAGCATCTGGAAAAAAGATGTAATTATTGACTAAATCAAATCAAGTTTTATTTATAGACACATTTATAAACGATTTTTGGTCGAGCCAAAGTGCTGTACATATAATAAAAATAGCCTACAGTAGAGACACTTTACAGCAAATACAACAGCACAGATTGTTCAGAATATCAGTATGAGAAAAAACGACACTCTCTATCCTTAGACCCTCAGACTATTGAGACAACAGAAAAACAAAGGGGGCGGGGCTTAGATGATAAATGATAGGCAAGCATTTAAGGAATTTATAAGTTAATGAAGTGTTAATCGTGGTTAGATTTTAAATTGTAATACTCTAGAGTTTCTCTGAATATGTGTTTCCTGTTTCCTGCAGACGTCCAGCAGCTGGTGGTGGTTAAAGAAGAGGTTCCCCCTGAGCAGCAGGAGTGGAGCTCCAGTCTGGACCAGGAGGACCCAGAGCCCCCCCCACACATTAAAGAGGAACAGGAGGAACTCTGGAGCAGTCAGGAGGGAGAGCAGCTTCAAGGGCTGGAGGAGGCTGATATCACCAAGTCCACATTCACTCCTGTCCCTGTGAAGAGTGAAGATGATGAAGAGAAACCTCAGTCCTCTCAGCTTCATCAAAGACAAACTGAACACCTGGAAACAGAAGCTGATGGAGAGGACTGTGGAGGACCAGAACCAGCAAGGAGCTCAGATCCAGAGAGACATTTACAACCAGAGACTGAGGACCACCCTGGAGACTCTTCTGAACCTGACACTGAAGACAGTGCTGATTGGAAGAAGACCAGAGAACCAGCTTCAAACTTTCAGAGAAATAAACAAGACACTGTCAGTGATTCAGGACGTAGTGCAGTAGAGAAACCATTCAGCTGCTCAGTCTGTAAGAAAACGTTTACGTATAGAAGAAGTTTAAATAGACACATGAGAGTCCACACAGGAGAGAAACCACACAGCTGCAGTGTTTGTGACAAAAGATTCATCCAGAGTAATCATTTCAAAATCCATAAGTGTGTTGGTCGTCAGTCCTCACAGCTTCATCAAACTGAGGAGAACAGAGAGGCAGAGCCTCCAGCCAGCAGCTCAGCTGAACACATGGAAACAGAAGCTGATGGAGAGGACTGTGGAGGACCAGAACCAGCCAGGAACTCAGATCCAGAGAGACATTTACAACCAGAGACTGAGGACAACCCTGGAGACTCTTCTGAACCTGACACTGAAGACAGTGCTGATTGGAAGGAGACCACAGAACCAGGTCCAAACTCTCAGAGAAATAAAAAAGACCCTGTCAGTGATTCAAGAAGTAGTGCAGGAGTGAAACCGTTCAGCTGCTCAGTCTGTAAGAAATATTTTACACAGAGAGGAGATTTAAATAGACACATGAGAGTCCACACAGGAGAGAAACCGTTCAGCTGCTCAGTCTGTAAGAAATATTTTACACAGAGAGGAGATTTAAAAAGACACCTGAGAGTCCACACAGGAGAGAAACCATTCAGCTGCTCAGTCTGTAGGAAATATTTTACAGGGAGAGGAGATTTAAAAAGACACATGAGAGTCCACACAGGAGAGAAACCATTCAGCTGCTCAGTCTGTAAGAAATATTTTTCAGCGAGTGGAGATTTAAATAGACACATGAGAGTCCACACAGGAGAGAAACCATTCAGCTGTTCAATTTGTAAGACATCTTTTAAATTGAGAGGAAATTTAAAGAAACACATGCGAACCCACACAGGAGAGAAACCATTCAGCTGCAGTGTTTGTGACAAAAAATTCACCCACAGCCATCAGGTCAAAAGACATAAGTGTGCAGGAAAGAAAACATTTGGCTTGTATTTGAGTGAGAAAATATTAGGAACCTAGTCAAATCTTAATAAACACATGAGAATCCACACAGGAGAGAAACCACACAGCTGCAGTGTTAGTGACAAAAGATTCACCCAGAGTCATCATTTCAAAATCCATAAGTGTGTTGGTTGTCAGTCCTCACAGCTTCATCAAACTCAAACTGAGGAGATCAGAGAGGCAGAGCCTCCAGCCAACAGCTCTACTGAACACATGGAAACAGAAACTAATGGAGAGGTCTGTGGATGACCAGAACCAACCAGGAGCTCAGATCCAGAGAGACATTTACAACCAGAGACTGAGGACAACCCTGGAGACTCTTCTGAACCTGACACTGTAGACAGTGATTGTTATTAGGTTTAAACTCTTTGGGCAAGTCCCTGTAAGTGATATATATTGTGATACCTTCTCCGAGTGTGATAAGACATTTTTGGTCAAATCTGCATGTGCAACAAAAAAAGATGACAATTAATTAGTAATATTCATACATGACTTCATCTAAACTCCATCTTTATCAACAGAAGTCGACAATATGTTTAATGTTTTTCTCATAATGATCTGCTGATTTATACTATAACCACTGACTGTTGATTAACGACTTTATTATTATTAATACTAATAATAATGGACTTCCGGTATGAGCGCAAGCGAGTAAGCCGCGCTTAACCCTGCTCCGCTACAATCCTTTCGAAGTCCTGTATAAAACTACAGAACTGTTCCCAGAAAGTGTGGGCAACTTTTTGTATCGAAGAAGCGATACCAAATCTTGGAAAGTCAAACAGAGAAAGGGGGAAAACACAGACGCAAGCAAAGTTAACTAACTCCGGGGCACAAAGCATGGAGCACAGAGCTAGCCAAGAGGCTAACACCGAGCTCACCGGGGCTAAAGAAGAAATACTGACAGCAATAGGCAGCTTAAAGTAGGAGTTTTCAAACAGACTGGAAGAGATTCTGACTGCTGTTGAGGAAACTAGGAAGGATCTGACTGACTGTACTGAAAGAATAACACAAGCAGAGGTGCGTTTATCAACAGAGGACGAGCACGCTGAATTACAAGAGACAGTTAAAACACTGATGAAAAAAAAACACGTTCTGGAAGATGAAGTCGTGGTGAGGGTGGTGAACCTGCCTGAGGGCGCTGAGGGCCCGGACACTTGCTCATTTCTGGCAGGCTGGATACCGGAGGCGTTTGACTTGGGTCCCCTGTGGTGCCCGATAGTGATGGAAAGAGTGCGTCGGGCCGAGGAGAGACAGCGATACTCCACCGAGAACTTTGATAATGAGATTTCTGAACTATAAGGACAAAGTCACAGTGATAAAGGCAGCTAAGGCAAAAAAAGACATCCTCTACAAAAACCAACAGGTGCGGTTTTAGTACGACCTCGCCAATGAAGTGCACAAACAACGAGGCAGTACGACTCAGTGCGCCAGCAGCTGCGGAACCTGGGCCTCAGCTTCAAACGCTGGCGTTTTTTCTGGAGTAATTATATTGATACAAGTAGCGAGGAGTAGGAATCGCTTTTTTTCCCTTTACGTTCGTATCGCATCGGTCTCAGAAGGCTGAGTGGACCAAACTTGACCCACTCTACCATGCTGCACTGCGATATATATATCAAATGCAACCTATAGTACTCATTGCAAACTGTATAGCCTAACTGGATGGTCCTCACTTAGTATGCGTAGGATGCAGCATTGGTTTTTATTAATGTATGAAGCCATTTTAGGTAAGCTTCCACTGCATATGTGCCAGATTTGCTCCAGTTTTGTGACTCTTACACCTCAGATCCAGTGCCTGGATACGGTTCCAGGTACCTGCTGTGCGGACTGAGGCTGGAAAAAGGAGTCTGTTTCATGATGGTCCTTGGTCTTGGAATGACCTTCAATCACGCCTTAAACTGACGGCACTTGTCCCTATAGCCTGTTTTAAATTGAAGTTGTCTGAGGTCCTTACCACCAGCTGCTCTTGCAGTAATAAGTAGTACCTTTCCTACTGTCCCAAAAGTGCACAATGTAGTGACTGCTTTTCAGTTTTGTTTTGTTTACTTAGTTGTGTTCTCTGTATTTTATATGTCTGTGTTATATGCAACGTTGCTGCCTTCTTGGCCAGGTCAGCATTGTAAATTAGATTTGATCTCGTAAATAAAGGTAAAATAAAAAAAGGACTGATCCAGGATCCGTTCACAACAGTAGCTGGAAGCAAAGTATAGATTCCCATTCAGAGAATGGGGTTATTTTGTTACTGTGGTTCATTATGTTTACAGTATGTGCTAGTGTTTAAGTGTGTCAACCCTTTCATACATGACAATCTTGTTAACAGCACTTCGTGGTATACTGTGTCTCAAAAAAGTAGAACTTAAATGCATCTCCTGGAATTGCAGAGGTTTACAAAAGACTAAGAAAATCAAACAAGTGATGAATAAGCTGAAAGACACTGATTCAAAAATTGGTAGGAGGTGGAAGGGGAGCATTGATGCATCGTCATTTACATCACAAGCAAGGGGAGTCATGACTCTTATCCAAAAATCAGTGCTCTTTCAAGTTTCTAATGTCATTAAGGATACATTTGGTAGATATTTGGTTATCCAGGGATCACTGCTCTCAGTTACTTTGAATTTGGAACATATACAGCCCCAATACAGATGAGCCTGGCTTCTTTACAAATGTATTTCTTACACTTGCATCTCTCCCAGGAGAATATATAATTGCAGGGGACTGGAACTGTACACTAGATTCAAGCAGGGACCGATCTACAGGTGTTGATCAAACTCCCACTAGAAGTAGAACAACTATTCAACATTTCATTCAAGAGATACATCTGGAGACACCTGAAACCTAACTATATTACTTACTCGTCTCACTCAAGTACTTTTCAGACATATTCACGGATAGATTACTTTTTAATCTCTGCAACGTTATGTTAAAAAATACAGGACTGTTACTATGGCAGTATATTAAAGGTTCCATGTCATGGCCATTTCTACTGATCATAATTCCATTGTTGAGGTCTACTAAAATAGATTTATACTGTGCAATTTTCCAAACTCACATTGGTTTTGCATACAGCATCTCTGTAAAGTATGTGTATTCAGCGGTATTCACTCTCTGTCCTAAACGGCTCGTTGGAGCTCTTGCCCCCCCTGTGAGCCCAGTTTATTTTTTACAGTAAATGTACTATATAATATTTACATTATTTTTGCACTTTCAGAAAATGCATGCAGATGTACGTAAAATAAAAATTATTATCTGTAATTAAATATGTAACTCGTTATATGAAAGTGTATTACTATTATAAGACTATAAGATATTTCTTTGTAATTTTAAGGTAAACATAAAACTGTAAAAAAAAGCGTCAAATAAAAAAAACGTAAAATGTAAGTAAAACATTTTTACATAAATCATTTTCTCAATATTCGATTGAATCCACCACAAACACAAAATATCCAATGTTGAAACAAAAGTAAATACATATGTTTTCATGAAATTCCTAACTTACTATATTGTAAACATCTACAGTTGACAATATCATTAAAAAAAAAAAGATCATAGAAAGTGGAGAAATCTCTGCAGGGAGGACCCAGGTTTAAAACACACACTGTTATTTACTCAACAATAAGTCACAGTTATCCTTGTTTTATTTATGTTGCTGTGTTTTTTTTTCTTCCATTGGTCAATATACAGTAATAAACCGCTTTTCTGCTTGCTCTTGCCTCTGCTTACTTTTTATGCTGATTTTCCTATTATTATTCTCTGAAAACTTCGAGCAGCGGCTCCTGGACATTAACTTATCACTGGGACAGTTCATCTTCGTAAATAGACGGAGGGTTTCAGCCATATTTCAACATTTTTACGACGACGTCAGTCTTACAATAGCGTGGCCTAGCAACAGCTAAAGCCTGGTAGGCTACTGCTATTTAGCTTAAGCTAGTTGGTAGCAAAATGCCTCCGTTCTCTACAGATGACTTCCAGAAACGTATACAGAAGATGGCTGTGTTGGAAATGAAAATGCAACGGTTGGAAGTTAACGTGGAAGTGAATGGACTATGTCGTGGGAATGACACGACTTTACCAGTGTTGCAAAGTAATGGAGAAGGGTATGCTAACTCACAGCTAGTTAGCAGCTACAAGGATTCCAAGGAACAGGAGGGCTGTGTACCGGGTAATAAATCTACAAGTGGTAGTCCTCCCTGGAACTCTCTGGGTGCAAAGCCTAAGAGTAAATCACTTCCATGGGATTTGGGAGGACGGATAACAGGCAGAGCCCAGAGCTCCGAAATCTGTGATGCGACCGGCTGGCCTGCATTGTTATCACCCAGGAAGAGCGCCTCTTCAACCCCTATTCATACTAGGAAACAGCAGTGGACAGCTGCTAAAGGGAGAATTACAAACAATCCTCCTAAACCACCAAGTGTGCCAATCCAGAACAGATACGCTCCGCTGACCAAGAACCGGAGATCTGATGACCTGGATAACCTGTCCTCTTCACGCAGCAGGGTAAGGACCAATAGCTACTCTAAAAGTAAAAGGCTAGAGGGAAAGCTAACGACTGGGCCTGAAACTCTGATTGTGGGTGACTCTGCTGTAAGAGATGTAAAAGGTCTGTGTAATAAGAACAACACCAAAGTACTCTGTTTTCCCAAGGATGTGGTCTCTGACTTGGCTGAGAAGATCCTGCATATTGGGGCTGAACATCCGACTGTGAAGAATGTGGTACTGCATATTGGAACAAATGATGTTGTGAAACAACAGTCAGAAGTGCTGAAAGAAGACTTTAAATGTTTGTTGGAAACTGCCAGCTCTCTAAATGCAGAGGTGTTCATCAGTGGCCCTCTACCGCCAGTCAGAAGAGGAGTGGAGAGATTCAGCAGATTGTTTGCACTGAACACCTGGCTTTCAACTGTCTGTACTGACCATTCTGTTCATTTTATTGACAATTTTAACTTTTTCTGGGATCGCAGACATCTTTTCAAGGCAAATGGAGTTTGCCTGAACAAGTCAGGAGTGAAATTGTTTATCTCTAACATATTCAACTGCCTGCGTCATCAATCTGTTCCCTCTGCCAAGGACAAGCGGCAAGAGGAATCAAAACACGAGAAAGACACAACACATCACGCAGAAAACCCTGAAGAATTATCACTGCACCCGCCTGAGGAATGTTCTGATTATGGGAGACATATGAGACACATGGAGGAGTCTCCACTGCCCCCCCCCCCCTGTCAACGCCTTTGAGGATACTCCGTTCACCCTTTCACCCTCGCCCACCCTCCTGGAGATCGATGAACACACAAAGGAGATACAGAGGGTTGGCACCGATTCCTTCCTGGAGTTCAAAGACCAAACGAAGGCGATACGCAGGGCTGGCACCATGTCCTTTACCCCCGCTCCTCAACGACGCCCACCAAAATCACCGCGGAGACGCGCACCATCTCCCCCGTCCTCATCACCGCGCCTACGTCAACCACCTCCCCCCCCTGGCAGCATGTCCTCTACCCCCGCACCATCTAGCCCAGGGGTGGCCAACCAGTCAGAGGTTAAGAGCCAACATTTTGACTATGTTACTGCAAAGAGCCACATCAAACACAGTCACAGATGCACGTGCACCCCCCCTCCCTCATTCTCTCTTTTGTTCTCAGCCTTTCTCTGTGCTCCTTCACTTTCTTCCTCACTTCTCTCTCTCACAGATAAAATGAAAATATAAAACTTCACACACACACACACACACACACACACACACACACACACACACAGTATACATCACTTCAGGGGACATTACATTGACTTACATGCATTTCCTGGAGACTTATCCTAACCCTAACCATAACCAACACATGCCTAACCCTTAACCTTACACTAACCCTAATCCTAAACCTAACCAAGTCTTCACCCTAAAATTAATGATTCCCCTCATGGGGACTTCCAATTTGTCCCCATAAGGGAGGTGAGTCCCCACACGTGACTGTGTCAACAGATTTAGGTCCCCACAAGTATAGTAATGCTAGACCACACACACACACACACACACACACACACACACACACACACACACACCACACACACACACACACACACACACACACACACACACACACACACACACACACACAGAGAGAGACACACACACACACACACAGCTCTGCTCAGACAGATTTATTGTAAATGGCACACACCATAATATTGACAGAAATTGAATTAAACCTCTCCTACCAGTATTCAGAGGCCAGTTAACATAACAACATAACAATGAACATTGTGTGCACTCACACACAAACTCTCAGTAAACAAAATTGAAAAGGTTTGTTATCTTACTTTAAATTAGTGAGACTTCTGACATTCCTTGCTTTGAACAATCCTCCTCAAATCTGGCTTGTATTCCGTTGTGGCCACTCGAAGCAATTCTCTCACATGTGTGTCAGTCAGAACAGATCGATGCTTGGATTTCACATGTTTCAGGGTAGAAAACACAGACTCACAGACGTATGTGACCCAAACATTGAAAGTAGCTTGAGCGCAGCCCGTTTGACATTTGGGTATTTTTCGATCGGCACAGTTTTCCAGAACTCAAGGGTCCCTTCCCTCAGAACAGGTTTCAGTCGGTCATCCTCTGAAAGTTCGATCATCTCCAACTCGGCCATCGCCTCGTCCTTGACTAGCGGGGCTTTCAAACAGTCCGTCTCAGCATTAAAAGGATCAACGAGGAACGTAATCTGTGGCCTTTTCACATGTAGATCATGGAACCGGGTCGCAAAGTTTTCCTGCAGGGTTTCAATCAATATTGCATAACGGGCTGTTTGCTTTTTCCGGGTGGCACCGGTGGCTTGTGCGCTTGCTTTTAGCAGAGAGGGAAAATGCGCTAATTCTCCCTTTTGAAGATGTGTCTTAAACAGTTTCAGTTTGTTAACAAACGCAAATACACTTTGCACTAAGTCAGGCAGCATTTTTAACTTTCCCTGCAGATCCAGGTTCAGTCTGTCCAGATGACACAGCATGTCGACCAAAAAGGCCAGATCCATAATCCACTTGGGGTCTGAGAGCTCCGGATAATCCTTGTCCTTCTGTTCCATGAACAGTTTCACAGCATCCAACAGCTCAAAGAAGCAAGACAGCACTTTGCCTTTAGAAAGCCACCTCACAGTGCAGTGCAGCGGCAGGTCTCCTGGAAGCCCTTGGTCGAGTTCAGCGATGAGATTCTTAAATTTCCTGTGGTTAAGAGCATGCGTGCGGATGTAGTTTACGATTTCCATCACAGGCTTCATGACGTTGTCTAAATTCAGTGATTTGGATACAAGTTGCTCCCGGTGAATGATGCAGTGGAAATTCCAAAATTCGGGAAATGTGTTGTCAGCTTTGCACAGCCCCACAAGCCCGTTCACAGATCCGACCATTGATGGCGCTCCATCCGTGGCTATTGCAGTTAGTTTCTGCTTGGGCACATTTGCTTCACAAACACATTTATCATTGTTTCTTTTACAATCGATGCCACGGGTTCTGTCTTTTAATGGCACAATATCAAGGAGTTCTTCTTTTATAACACAATCCTTTGAGACTGATCGTGCAAATATTGCCAACTGAGGCTTGTCTTGTATGTCACAAGACTCATCCAATGCCACACTGAAAAACTCACATGTTTGAAGATCAGAGTGTAACTGCGCTTCAATGGCGGTGCTAATGTCCGATATTCTGCGTTCAACAGTGTGGCGGGACAGTTGGACGTCTGATACCGCTTGTTTCAGTTTTTTGTTTTCTGGAGACAAGATTTCAACCACGTCACTGAGGCATTTTGAACAAACTCCCCTTCATTGTACGGCTTTTTAGCTTGTGCTATGTTCCAAGCAACTTGATAAGATGCAAGTGTTACGGTCTCCGAGTGCTTCGTTATTTTTTTGAAAAACTGTGTCTGCTTTTCTGCCTGACTTTTCAAGGTGTTTATCTTCTGCTTGCGAAGTTCCGTACCTTTTGGGAAGTCATGGTCGATGTTAGCATGGAGTGAGGTGAAATGGCGCTGAAGATTTGAAGCCTTGAAATGGGTTAATGCTGTCTGGCATATAAGGCAAAATGGGCTTGCAATTGCGTTCGATAAAAAAAATATGAACTCTCCCACTCTACTAAAAACGTCCTATGTTCGTCTTCATATTTTCGCTTAGCTGTGCATTTCTTCCCTGCCATTTTAGGATCAAACTCAATTCATGGTCAGATAGTGTTTAATACTCGATTCTGATTGGTCAATTCAGAACACGTGACACGTTGTTAATCCAGAACAGACAGACCGCTGTCAAGCAGTTCCTGCCGTTGCTACATTCAAACAGTAACAACGGACTATTTCTCTTAGCGGATGCATGTCATTTTAAATAAATAATAGCGTACTATTTTTTTAAATCAATAAAAACATTTTCTAAATCTATAAAAGCATTTCAATTAATATTGGGAGTCATATCG